CACGCGCAGCTGAAAACACTTCCCGCAAGTCCAGCTGCCCGAGATTCACAGAATTTACAGAAAATGATACATTTGTGTGATTTATATCCTTATCGGACGATAGAATTCTTATATCGGGATATGAGATTTTGGTCATATCGCCAGTGCAGATACTGGCAAGTTATTTTGGGAGAGACCTTTCATGCATTCAGTATACAGAAAAGTTTATTCTTATTAGTAATGTGGGTATAGCAACTTGCAGTGTTTATTTCGACTTCTTAAACAGTCCAGTGTTTCAGAGAGCTTTTAAGACCAGGAAGAAAACACACTGACATGTAGCTTTCCTTTAAAATAAACAAAACTCTTCTTTATATTTTTTTATTACACAAAACACGACGGTTCTAATCTCGAGGTTTACAAAGCATAAAATCTGAAAGTTGAGGTTTAATTGTTTTTTATTTTTTGAATTTCTTGAGTTCAACAGCCATATTGCTCATTGCTGCCTTTGCTGGTGCATGGCTGTAATACCACCACCTCAAAATTACTGAAAACTGTGAACTGTGGCTTATGCTTATTCATACCCCCTTTGAAAATGTCAACATTCAGCTAACAACTGCTCACAAAACTCCAGAAGTTATATTTCAAACTATTCTGTAATATTACAGCTGTCTCAGTCAATGCTGAGTTTCATTTAAAGAAATGAAATCAGTGTTTTAGGGTGAACCAACACTACTAACATATACTTAAATTCACAGTAATGTGTAAAAAAAAAATCAGTTAAAACAAAAGTCTTACAAAATAATTTAGGAGGTTAAAAAGCAAAAAAAAAAATAGTCTCTTCTTTCAAATAGATAAATCAAACTACTAACGTTGTAAATAGCATACATGGAAATGTTAAAATTTGCAGGATGTTTGTGTTCTTATTTTTAGAAAGGAAATGCTTCTAAATGTACTGTAGATGGATTGTACATTGGATTAAACACCTATGACATCTGTTGATAGTAGTTCATTTTTTGCCTTTAGTATTAAGTCACAACAAGGCAAGTAAATTAGTCTTAATTAGCATGTATTGTTTACTGAGCAGTATTTAGTTAAGTCTTTTTTTTTTAACTATAAATAAAGAACATATGTATTAAGTGGTGTTCTGTGTGCCAAAATGAAATGGAGATTAAAGTGCACTGGCCAAAACCAGCAAAGTGCTAATGGGTACTTGCAGTGATAAAAGATGTCAAGCCAACAGGAGAGCCACAGAGCTATCATTTAGTACTCTACACAACCACATACTAATGAAAAAAATAATAAAATAATCCAAAATGTAAAGTGATGAAAAAAATTTCATCACTTTACAATATGTATGTAAGATCTTAAATAATCCTCCGCTTTTCATTGAAATAATGCATGTGTTCAACTTTTCTTTTTTTAAAGCCACATGTCCTGCAATACAGCCCACGCCTCAGTTCTATCCTGTTAAACACCCTGCTTCGATACAGCCTGAGGACTCCCTAAAGACATAGGACTTAAACTAACCACAGACTATGCCTATACAGCTGCCACTGTGAGTACGTTCTCAGAGAAGCGAACTCATTTTGAGGCTCTAACCTGTGACCCTTCTCAGTCTAACAAGGCTGGAAAATGAAGGAAACAGACAGAGCGGACTCAGTTGGTTTGTCACTGCTGACTGCAGGCACCACTGACACAGTCTGCAGTTGTTGACACCAGATAGGGTGCACTGTAAAATGAGTCTGGGACTGTAAATGACAGACGGTGAACACATGGAAACATTAGCCAGTACCTGCTTTCTTCAAAATGGAAGGAGGGGGGAGGAATACCACGCAGTTGCAGTTTTAAGTTCATGTAACAAGAACAAATCTCTTTATATATTATATGGATAACACTGTCTTCATACTGATTTGACAACCAATGAGTTCTGTAAGTTACCGTGTATAAAGTCTATCCTTCTTAAGAAGTATAAGAATCATCCATCCCAACTTACTAGGTGCTCTGTTGAAAGAATAATGATCCCAATTATTCCCAGATGTATACAGACCAGCAGTACAGTTCACACATAAGCAGCAATGATTGTTCAATCCATTAAAAGACTTGAGACAGATGATCTAACATGTCATTTTGGCAGTGAGTGAATAAACTTAACTCAGTCCTACTTCCCTGAATCCTTACCTGAGACATTGATTGAGGTGCCTGCATCGATGATTCCGCTGTTTGGCCGCACACAGTACCGACGCGGCGCTGTCGTCTTCACCTTAAAGCACACATTCCTGTCTGTAGGGTTGGAGAGCTTGAGATTTGTGGTGACCACGTCTGAGAATGGACCTGTGTGGAAAGTAAACACAGTGGACACTTAAAAACTGGTGGTGACAAGACTGACAAGTCTGTCTTTGGATAAATAAGGACAATGAGAAAGCAACTTGTTAATGAAATCAAATGAGCCAAGTGATAAAGATACATCAACTGCACAGAAGAAGCAACAGTGTGAGGAAAAAAACATGATAACAGACACTATAATGTGACTGTTTCTGAGAAACTGAGAAACAATCACTTAAATGTAATTTTCTTAAACTGGCACATCGACGCAGAAGCGAGCGTGGGAGTTTCACTTGACTGAGAAGTTGCACCACCTTGTACTATGAATTTACAAACCAATTTATTCTTTGATAAATATTTACCAAAGATTGTGCCAAGAAGCACATTTCCACTGTACATACAAACAAGAACAAGCTGACTGCACCCTTTTCAAACAAAGTAAATAATAGAGGAAAATGGCTGTGAGTATGTGTGAGACATTCGAATGTGGTCTATCAAAGTCTAATGTGATGTAACAAATCGGCTGCCTGAAATGTGAAGGCTTTTTCATTTGACCTGACATAATCTGAATAAAAATAGTTTTCATGCCAATTAAACTAATGGAGCTTATCTACACTGCCCTCGTGGTTAAGAAAAACAATTATTCAATTAATAGAAAACTGAAAGGTACGCTGTACATACAAAATAAATCATACGTAAATATAAATCTTCTACTACTGCATTATCTAAAACAGAGCAGCTAATGCAGTTTGGATTTAACTAATTATAGCCAGCATTGGAGATGCAGGCCACATCTCTGTGGCTGCATTAAGCTCTGCACCTTTATCAATAATGGAGAAACCTCCATTGATCGACACTGCACAATATTTGCCTTGTTGGCTGCCATCAACCTATTAGAAAATAATGCTGCTTTTCCTCATGGACTGTAGCTCTGAAGTTTCAGAGGTATGCACAGGGAGAGATCGGTTCGTTAGCCTAACAAAGCCATACAAAATCTGTGTGACATTAGATTGCACAGATGTGTAAATAACTGCCCATTCAATTCATCAGGCTAAACTAAAGTGCCTACACAGAGTGTGAACAAGTCTGAAATGGACTACTCTATAACCGTTATAATAGAAGCATGGAAGAAGTTTTTAAAATATTCCTTTGGATTGCAGAGCTACACACTTTTCCTTTTCTGCTTAACAACATTAAATTCAAGGCTATTCAAGTAAAATTAAGTCATTATTAACTTGTTTTCTTTTCTTCCTTGCACATGTATTTCCAAAACTCCAGAGATGTTTTTCTGTTACAGTTTCTCCCCCATCTTAACTGCTTTGTAAAGCTTCCAGCATTTTTTTTAAATGAAATTACACAAGTGAAGGTAATTCTGAACAATAAATGATGTCCAAAATTGACAGAGTAATATGAAATGAAGGGTTGGAAAAGCAGGGGAATAACAAGCAAGTTTATATAGCTGTGAGCAATCAATTAGCCCCAGTAATGTATTTACATGGTGCAAGAAAACTGAAACTTAGACAAGTGAAAGTGGAAATGCATAATATACAAATAAAAAAAAGAGCTCAGTAATTTGACTTCTGTACAAGTTAAACGCCCCAAATCTCAATTATGACTCAACGAGGGGATCCCCCCCAAGGAAATCCCTAAAATACTTTAAGAGGGTTTTGAGAACCTAACAGACTTTTATGTGAATTTCCTGAAGACTGTTGCTCCTAAACAAGTACATGCTAAATAGGTTAGATAACAGCTACCTAAGAACAGTCTGTAAGACAACTTTGTGCACCCTTTGCCAGCTTATCAAATATTGCTGTTATTGTTTTCTTCTGCTAAAACAGTGAAATAGTGAGTTTGTTAAGTCAGGCAATATTTCTTTTTTATTCGGGGTGTGGGGAGGTAGGTGGTTTTATGTTGTTAACGTGGAGTCCAGTAAGCTGTATGAATTTATAGTAACATAGTTATTGTAGATTTGTGTCACAGCATGTTCAGAGCAGATGTGCACCAGTGATCAGTTACTAGAGAAAATTGTTCCAACACACAAAACATTTAAGAACAAATTATCCTCAGACTAATTATTCAGTTTAAATACTACTCAGTCCTGTCAGATATGATGCGTTTTTTTAAAAAAGAAGCTAAATATTGGATTGAACACTGCACTATATTTTATTCTAACCAATCAGCAGTGATTTAGTGTTTGTAAGGATTATTGTAATAATTATTTTTCAAACATACACACATTTAAACATCAAGTTCATTCATGCATATTGCCATTTAGTGAGAAATTTCCAATCCGCTGTCCTGGTTTATGCAAAGAATGTCTCGAGTGACTCAGTTATTGCCTTGAAACAATAATCAATGTTTGCTGAAACAGAATTATTTGAATCACTGTATAAAATATACCATGCATGCACTGATTTAGGAGTCCAGGAGCAGGAAATATAAGTAGAGTTATTGCCTTCTCATTTTATAGTCACCACGAGAGGAAGCAGCATCTAAAACTGTAATTCATCCCAACGTAAAGAGTAAATCAATATCTACTTCAGTGTTAAGGTTTTCTTTTGACTTAGATGTTGGTGACAGAAATATGGGTGGATCCCAGAGCTCTAGCACGTGACTACAGTGAGTCTTGAAATGAATAAATGTAACATGATTTATTCAGTGAGGCTGAAGAAAGCCTTACTGTTTAATCACTAGTCTCTTTGATATAACAAGAATATTCATTGCAGATATTGCAGGTTGTGAGCCCTTTCTGATGTTGCCGACTGACCAAATATCATTTCTTGTATAGCTTGAGAGTCACAGGTTTATATGCAATTAATTATCCCCATTGATGGGACAAAAACCTGACTGGAAGCATTACTAATGCCTGTATTCTCCCTAGTAGCTTGAGTAAGAGCTGTGCTAATTCATGGTCAGGCGAGGGGCAATGATGAATGGCTGCATGACTTCCCAAACTTAGCAAATATGCTGCCAATACCACACACTTTACAGTCAGCCTTATGGAAAGCAAGATTAATGGAATGGAATGTTACAGTATCATGGAAAACCATATTAGCAAATAATGTCCATAAATGACCATGTCTATCCACATTTATTTGCAGACAATGCTTCCTCTCACTTTGCTGTCATAGATATAGCTACTATTATACATATCATGGTTAGAGGGATGAAAATATATCAATAAACGATCTGAAAGTGCAGACTTTTAAACCAGCATTTACTGACCAGCTAATTTCCAAGTACCAAAACAGTCTTCCGTCTTGTGATTTTCAACAATTACAAACCACATTGACCAATCGCGAAAGCCTTTTTATCAAGTAAAGCTTTCTGATGAAACTACAAATTAGTCCCCTACAGTAGCCATTATGGTAATGGTAAAGTTTGCAGTTGAGAGAAGCACACTAACTCCCTGTATGAAAACACGGAGCTATTTCAGAATTAGCACATACACCAGATTCAAGGTAAAGTTTCAGCTCAGCAAACATTGAGAGCAACTGACACTTCCACTCCCTGTTGAGCAAAAACAGAGAGGAAATTCAGAACTTCACAAGCTTGGCTCAAGATCTAAAGGCTTTTAATGAAAGGGACTCACGCCACTGACTACTGTACACCTGATCTACTACTTCCTGAAGGTTTCTCAGGACAGTGTCCAACTCACAGAGGCCACAAATGGTTGTTAAAAAAAAAAAAAAAAACTATTATGAGAAGCTGATATCTGAAGCTGTCATCATGCAATGTTGGATTTTATAAGTAGGAGATAAAAACCAAGGGGTGGTTTGCTACCCTTACCCCTGACAAAAAAATCAAATGGGTAGAAATGAAAAAGTCCAGTGCCTAGAATTTAAGAGCATTTACTCTAGAGATTGTAAAAACCAGAGACAAATTGCTACTAACAAACCCACTCTGTATTTCCTGAGCTTTCACACTGCATGCCTACATCTAGGCATGTGATTTGTGGTATTTTCATTTACAATAAGACACAGTTTCTTCTGTCTGGTTATGATCAACAGTTATTAGACACTTTTATACGTGGGATTCTTTCAGGCTTCAGGTTCAGATTCTTATCAATCATCACAAAAAGCCATGAAGATATATCATCTGAGGAGTCCGGCAACAGATGGCTTGGCCTCCAAAGAGAACTGATCTCCAAGGTTAAGTGAAGACTGATGAAAGACAGAGTTGAATTAAAGATGACTGAACCCCTCAACCAAATACTGGAAAAACTGATTGCACCGGGATACGAACTGCTGACCTACTGATTTTCCCTGCAGTTGATTTGGCTACATACAGTTTGAATGAAGGAAATATTTTGATACATATAAATGGTTCATGGACTAATTTTGCACTAATCTTCAGTTTACTTTTACATTTATGTAAAAAACTAGTTTACACATGGACCTACACCACTTACTGAACAGGTACTGGAACAATTTCTCTAGGAAATCTTAGCACAATAACTGTATTTAATTTTTATACCTATTATGACTCTTATTTTACTTCATTCTGCTAGATTTCTATTTACTGAGATTCTTTATTTGTTCAGTTTTACTTAGATTTTATTTTTCTTATATTTTTTCTTACATTTCCTTACAGGTTGTGTTTTCTAGCTAAGGAATTTACCAAAAGCGATGTGTGTCCACTAAAGTCATGTAACAAACGAACACCCCAAACATCCACCCAATGCTTCAACTCTAGGTAACCATAGCAACAGTCTTTCCAATTGATAGTGAGTTTCTAGTTTAATCTGTTAATAAGACACATTGTTACACTGGGTGACATAATGCTTTACTTTGATGCACATAGTCTATTTTGGGTCACTTATATATACACAGAATCACAGTTGTGCAAATAGTTAAAAGTAAACCAAATGAACCTGTAGCTAAAACAGGGAGGTTATATAAGGATGAGACATAGAACTCAAAAAAAATCCTCAAATGAAATCTATGAGAGAATTTTTTACAGCAAATATGACCCACATCTTCCCCCCCCCAAAAGGCAATCAACAGCTGAAATGGGAAACATTAGGAGTAGAGGTTCAGAAGAGCTTCAGCTGTGTGGTGCTAGGCATATCTTGCCACTATGTGAACTATCATGGTATTAGTTCAGTACTCCCATGGGATGAGCAAAGACAATGATCTGGATTTAGCCATTAATGAAGCTGCAATTAGGAGTCACCGTGCTACAGATCACTGAACTGTACTGCACGACAACCATATGAATGGTTAAAGCAGGATAATGATGGTGTTTTTCACTTTTTGTTCATGTTCCAATCACAACCAGGTGATACACTCTATGGTAAAAATATGTTTCTCTATTCTTTATTATTCATCTCCAATAAAGCAGAACCGAGGTACGGATCTGACCGAGGTTTTAAAGAATAGCCAAACCCCTTGGTACGATGTTTTAAAACTATGAACTTGTAGTTAAATATTACCCTAAATCATTACAAAGAAGCTTTCCAACCTCGTTGAGTCAAAAATCTAAATACTTCTGAATCAGTTTTTCTTACTTACGCTATGTATTTGTGTACCCTTTTTAAAAATATTTTTTGAATCACGTTGTCATTAAGATGAAATGGAGCTGAAGCTAGGAACTGGAGAGCCAAATAGCAGGCCGGGGAATTTAAAGACCTAATGAGAGGTGGACTAACACATTCTTAATTTTGTTGTCACTTTTACCACTTTTACTAAAGTGGTAAAAGTGACAACAAATCAATATTTAAATACAATTTCTCTATTTGGCTCTTGTAAAGTGGCTGTGATGGAAGCATGATAATAAACTGAAAAAGAGGAAGACGAAAAAGCAACATTCGGCTGCTCTCTTGCTCACAAAGGGTCGTTACAGAGAGTAGCTCTGCGTATTTGATTTGGCAGTTTTTACACCAAATGCCCTTGCTGACTCAACCCCCAGGGATCTTTCACTTATTGGGCGAACATGTAAACAACTAATGCACTTTGGTGTCTACTTTCTCACCCTACATTCTAAACAGTTTATCTAATTAGGATTGCGGGAAGGTTGGAGCCTATCATAGCTAACACAGTGAAACGTGTATACTAATGCTTAAGCAGTTAACAAGCGTGCAGTGGAGGCATTACTATCTTCAACAAATTGCTGGCTCAAGCACTGATAGTTTTGAGTGGATTTAAACAGTGGCTACAGTGTAAATTGCTGAGGGCTGCAGGTCATTTAACTACACTGAAGCTCAGTGATAAATATCATAAAGGTTGGCATTTAATTTATTTTTTGGTTTTGCTAAGACAACTAAGTGTAATTTGTTGTTCTTTAAGGGTCATAAACCAAAGAACACTGACCATACAGGCATTTGGGAGACCAGGGTATCATTAAAACAAGTATAAATATTACATTTATCAGCGTCTTAGTTTTAAGTAAAACATTTAATGTTTCAAACTATTGCAGGAACTCCAGAATCTGTTCCAAAGCAGGTACAAATGTACCATATGTGTTTATGTAACATTATCTGGGCCTAAATGTGACATTTTGCAGCCAAATGCCGAGTCTCACCAAGACATCTATTATTGATTCAAAAGTCCAAACGATAAGGACTGAGGAAATTTTAACCCACAGTTGAAATCATATTAAGTTGCACAGGTTGTCCAGTTTTTCCGTCCTGTGAGCTGTCAAGTTATTAAATGACAGCTGGCTGGCCAGCAGAGCGAGACAGCCAATCAGAGGAGGAGCTAATGTTAGCCAGCCAGACATGCTAAGGATGTTGCAGCTTATGGACAATGAAAGGTGGCGAACTAAAAGAGCAGTTATGCTTGTGTCATCTTTTTATAATTGCTATTTTTACAATGGGTGAATATTTCGTGTCTAGTAGCTGTAACCCGCTTTAGAGGAACTTGGTGCAGGTCAAATGTGTGACAGGGCCTGGCTAACCTAGCCGCTGAGAGCTAATCCAGCTAGCTTTGCAGCTAGCTGTCAGCTGACCTGCCGTCCTTTCAGGGCAGCCTTCGCTTTTTCATATGAAGGCTATATTGTGAAAATGTGCACTGCAGCCCCGCTCGGTATGGGTTCCCTAATAGTGCCCCCCTCTCCTTCCAAACAGCGCTGACAGAGGCAGGTCCCCCCACTCCTCCTCCTCCCTGCTACAGCCGGGCCCTCCCCTCTTACCTCGGAATTTCAGTTCGTGCTGAGGCTCCAAGAGCAGAACCTGTTCCGGCCTGGCCATGTCCCAACAGCTGGAGCGGGATTATCGCACTGCAACCAGTTCCCGTGTTAGGATGTTGTCGAGTGTTGCAGCGTCAATAGAGTTTATTTATCAATGAATCAGCGGTGGATATCCCGTCCCCCCGGTCAACTACTGCTACTCGAGCTACTAACGCCTGTTGTGATGCAGCAGGAAGGGAGTGAGAGACAGCCTGCTGACGTCACTGCCTCTGCATAGCCACCCGGCGGTGAAGAGGGAGGAGGTGGAGGGTGGGTGATGCCGGGGTGCACCCAGGGCTGGTGGGGACGCCACCTGCGTTTTTCACGAAACCTGAATCCAGCGAGAGGACGTGGCTTAAGCATGCAGGTTTTAATTTCAGCCTAAAGAGTTACGCTTCTAAGTTTACCTGCTGTCACCCGCTGTGGTGGAGTGAGTGCTAACATCTAGAACGAGTACATTATCAACAAATAAAAACAAATCAACCGTACAAGTCGTCATTATGCACCGTACTAAAAATAAAAGTACTTAACTATTGTCAGCAAAATATGACAAAGTTAGTAAAAAGTACACATAGTTCTTGTGCGAGTGATATTATTAGTCTCCAGTATTGCTTTAAAGAAGCAGGCGACAAATCTGCAGTAACTGTGTGATGCTATCACGTCAGTATGGACCAAAATCTGAATGAATTAATGTCTTCTATCAGTTTGTTAGATTTTTCTTAAAGAGAGCAGGTAAGATATTGAAATATAGTATATATAGTTTTTCATATCTTGGTGCATGCTCGATCATCCAGGGAAAATGAGATTGTTTTTCATAGATTATTTCTTGCAACAATTGTTGGAAATCAAAATCCACTTGAATTGTGTAGTCCAGAAAATTCATGGTGGCACAATAATGAACTGTGATCTCATGTCCCAACATGTTGAATGTTTTGAACACCGATGTAAATTAATGACTCCTGAACTCTGGTCGCATCTAATTAAACCAGGGGATCTGCTTGCATCTCTGAATGTGATGAAAGATGTGCCTTAAATTATTACAGATGTAAAAATATGTAGACATAGTGCCGAATTTCTACTCATTATATTGACTTGATCAATCCCAAAAATGTGCTATTAAAGTTCAACCACTGAATAAGTTGAATGTTTTGTATATATTTATGTTTAATAAGTATTCGGAGGTTGTTAAATGCGTGTTCCTTCTCAGCACAACTCAAAGTGCAGTAAAAAAAAAACAAACCCTCTGCCTGTCAAACACACATCTCAAGTGTCATTCTTATATATATATAGCCATGCAGCTGGCTGCCAACTGAAAACCATAAACAGTCACTAACAACACCGTCACTGTATCCTAAGGAACATCGAAATGCACACATCTCTAATAGGCCAGACACACAGAAGAAAGAATGCTTCCTACAGGCTGCAGTCATACACTTATTTTTGGAAATCTTTTATTAGTAAACAAATGACAATTCCCTTTTCACGCATTTCAAATTACACTGCAAACAAGTGTTTTCAGGGATATGTTACAATCAGTATGAAATATAGCAAAAAGCTAAATATGGTAACTACACTGCTGATGATTTTACTACAAATGGTGTACAGGTATATTTTCTTCACACATCCGGCTTCGAATAGAGTTATTGATTTGTGTTCAATTTGATGGTACATATGTACACTGTAAAAGATACATAACATAGATTAAGCATATTCCCAGGGCCAGCCCAAGACTATCGATATTTTTCCAATGCAAAACTACAGGCACACAACTTCTATTCATGCCTCGTGTTTCCAAATGGGGGGAAATAATGTGTGGCATAATTAATAATCAAACCTTAAACATTCTAAGCAGCCATGTGATTAGCACTTAACTTAAATCAGAATTTTAAAAACAGAAGAGGTTAGGTATGCGTGTTGTGGTAACATGGCTTTGACATTATTTGGCAATAAGAATCAAACACACAGTCAAAACCTAAAGCAACATCAGGGGATATTAAGAAGTCTGAGGCTTTACAGAATTATTTCATCGAGTGACTTCACAGAGATAACACACTACAGGCAGAATGTTAGTAATATGAGCCAATACAAAAAAAGTCAAAGTGCAGCTTTTAATGTAACAGCGTGATTTCCCTTTTGAATAAAAATTGGTTACACTGTGGTAAGTATTGGCTCGAGTTAATGTAGGTTTAATGTAGTGCTGGGTGAATTATCACAGATAGCAGAGCCAATTAAAAGTTTACATTTTCTCCTCTGGCTTTCAAGGTTTGACCCAGTCACACTGCCCCTCCGGTCGACTACAGATGGGTGAGAAATTAAGTGAAAAATCTTAAAATCAATTATTCATTAACCCTAACACTAATCTTCATCAATAAAAGGTGTCCCATGCCTCCATTGGAGTTAAAGAGATCATGGAAAGTGATGGGAACTTGCTTCGAAGCTGTCTTGGTGGTATGTGGTATGCCTTACTATGACTGTTTTTCTTTTAATTTGTCACCAGTCTGTATTTTTGAGCAAAATTGCAATTAAATCAACATAAAAGAAAAAGGAACAAAGACTGCATTTTTACACGAGGATCACTCTGGACTGATTTCCCTTGTTTTTAGGTCACATTTAGAGTGTGTCATAATTAATTCTATTGCACTCGACTCCCAACTCCTGAACATTATGCAGCACCACTCACTACACAACTCATCAGTAACAGAAACATTTCAGATGATGCAAGGCAAATAGTTGTTTGTGTCGACAGAAAAACAAATTAAGCTCACATCTGTACCTTTTTTCTTCAAATTTTGAAAAGAGGTTTGGGGAATAAAATGGCTCAAGAGATTCAGATAAGGATAAAAGTAGTCAGTATAGGCTCAAGACTTAGATTTCAGGCCAACCTTTTTATAGATTGAGTGAGATTCTGGCTATTTTTGGCCACTGAACCCCCCAAAAAAAAGAAAAAAGAAAAATTACTACCCACAAGTTAAAATTTCACCTTATTATCTCAAAATTTCAGACCTCTAAGAAGATAACTCGAAACTGAGAAAATAACTTGAAATTATGATTCAAACTTTTGGGACAACAACCCGAAAAATTCACTTATGGGGAAAAAAAAGGGTTTTTTTTTTCAGTGGGATAACAAGCTTCATTAAAGACAATGAATCAAAAACTCTTCCTGCAGTTTCTTTAGTGGCTGCTTCAGGCCAAAAAGGAGTCAATGTCTACCTTCATTTTTGGCACAAGCATATCAAAAGTTCAACAAATATGTGTGGTCTATATACCTAACTTTCTCTTTCATAACAACTGGAAGGGTGAGTGTTTTTCTCTTATAATCATTCTGATTTGGTTAAAGTTAGGTGTTTGAAGCGTCCCAGATGTGCCGACACAAGCAAACGTTTCACCTCTGCTAACGGGAGTCAATAAATTGGAGCTCTCCACTATGTTTGCGGTATTGACGTCTTTTAGAATAACTTTTATTGGAATTATTAAACAGATAATAAGGCCCCTGCTGTGCTTAGTCTGGCTAAACCTTTTGTGAGTCAGTTTTAGTGATTAAAATTCAAGTATTTTATCAATGGAGCCAGTCAACCAAGTTAGCATTAACTTAGCACTCCACGATCTGCCAGAAAAAGTTGAGCATTTAAAATGGAGAAATCCAGAAATGAATGGATGATGTCATCTTTCACATACAGTCTATAACCCACATAAAGATTGCTGTAGGAATTACGGCATCTAAACCGATCCCAATATGACCCCACAACCAACAGGATCCGAAGGACATACGTGGTATACAATACCAGATCTCAGTTCAGCCGTGCATCGAGAGCCTGGGGTTTAGAAGAATAAGGCAGAAAAGCTGAAAGAAAAGGAAAATCAGAAAGGAGATTCTGGAACAAAGCACACAGTGTGTAATTCAGGACAAAATACAGGCCAAGGTTCATTAAGGGGTCAGCATGTCGACACAGCGCCATGTCTAATTCTCTACCCATAACCTTCTGCTAACGGGAGATTTAAGCTCTAAAATATGAGTTTCCTCTCGACGAGGTTTAGTTTCCAGCTCTTGCTGTTTTCATCAGAGGCCAAGTAGTAAAACAACATTGGATGTGTGAGCTGGGGCTGATTATGTGGTGAGAAAAAAAAAGAAACCAAAAAAGGAAAGATGAAAAATGTTTATGGGACAATTAAAGAATTTGGCAAGTCCTCACAAAAATCAACCTCCCTTGTTAAAGTGTTGTAAAGTAGCAGCAAAAGAGTAAAGACAGGCGTGTTTGCCAGTGAAACGTTACAATAGGATAAGAAAAAAAAAGGGGGGGGACTGGCAGGATACTCTGTACCTTGGGCATTATGAAGCACTTCATACACAGGATGCTGTAAAGACTTCTTCAGTGATTATAAAGGGAAATGGGGAACAGATGTGAGCAGCTGGAACTCTTATCATATAATAATCAAGAGTGAATATTTTGTCCTGATTACAGCACCATCACAAGGAGGATCTGATAATGAGGTTCCTCTAATCACAGACGGTGAAATTTGTTGTCATTCTTGGGAACAAGTGGCAGTGAAAACATCTTTCTAGGCCACAGAGAGAAAAAGATCAAAGCTGACAATAAAAGGAAAAGCTCATTTTCAGGGAAAAATGCTTATTTGTTTTCCGGCAGAGTGCTACACAAACAACAGGAGTCTGTCCATCACGTATAAACCACTGGCAGTCAGCCGGTTAAAAACACCAAGCCTGACTCTCTCCTGGCTCCAGCCACATATTTACCATTTAGACATGACAGCAATATCAATTTTCCAAAAAGCTGAACTATTTCTCCAATGTCAAGGAAGAAGGCTCCCACACATCTTTCATTTCTGCTTCTTTTACTGTGTGATTGTGGTTTACATCAAAACATCCCACTGGTATTTTGCCTCGGTTAAAGCAGCAATCACACAATAAAATTTAAATTAAGCGTGCACAATCCTTCTTGGAGTGGACTGTGGCTGGAAACGACTGACGCTGCGATGAAAGGATCACAGGGAGAGCCAGGCTTTATATTAGGATGACTAACATCATTTTTTTTCCTTCAAAATCTTATATAAAATATTAAATTCACACTTTTGGTTCTTTCAGAATGCTTGGAGAGAGATCTCCCAAAAGAAAGGCAATAACTTAAGTACTATGAAAATAAGTTTTCAAGATTTAACCACTTCATTTCATGTTTTTGGTTGAAAGATAGTAGATCTGTACAAA